TATTATGCAATCTGCTGTTTCTTAGGCTTCACACTTTCTGCTGAGAAGATATCGGTTTTTAGGATGTTGTGAGTTGCAGTCCATTATGCAACCTGCTGTTTCTTAGGCTTCACACTTTCTGCTGAGAAGATATCGGTTTTTTAGGATGTTGTGAATTGCAGTCTATTATGCAACCTGCAGTTTCTTAGGCTTCACACTTTCTGCTGAGAAGATATCGGTTTTTAGGATGTTGTGAGTTGCAGTCCATTATGCAACCTGCTGTGTCTTAGGCTTCACACTTTCTGCTGAGAAGATATCGGTTTTTAGGATGTTGTGAGTTGCAGTCCATTATGCAACCTGCTGTTGTATAATAGTAGTAAAAGTAATACCATTAAAATCGTCATATTCATATTTGGTGCTTGATGTTAAAAATAAAAATATTATACTATAGAGAAAATACACAATAATAGATAATAATAAAGTAAAACACTGCCATAGGAAGCAATTTTTGAGTGGTCAGGCCATTGCCACAGCTAAACAATGTGTGCACAGTACACGACTGGTTTGGGTGTATGCTCCCCAGACATTTGTTTAAAATTTAATGCTATGAGATTGAATCTTGAGCCATTTTAACTACAAATACTGCATACACACAACATAATGTATTGAATTAAAAGAAGCAAGTTTTAATACATAAGTTGTAGCTATATATGCCATGAAAAAGTGGTCAGGCCATGCCTTGACTGGTCTGACCACTTCCTACAGCCCTGTAAAAAGTAAAAGTGGTTGCTGACAGTCCAGATGCCTCCCTGTGGTTGGTGGTTCGGAATTAGGGAAGGCACCATACTACATATGAAAACATGTTGCAATGGGACTCCATTACTGGAGGGAGGAGAGCCTACACTTTGGCTGTTGTTAAAATTGTATAGTGAGCAAATCAAATGATTTTCAAATTAATTAACAAGGGGCGAGTCCCAGAGCTGAAGCATGGAACCGGACAAGAGTCACATGTGAAGATGGAGTGTGGTGACGTTGGAATGAAGAACATCCAATCATGGTAGGTGGAGGAGTGAATGGGACAGAGATATGGGTAGTGGCTGTTGCTCCAGTAAGGGCCAGAGCAAAGGGAACCATGTCTGAGCCAGTCAATATGGAGTAACCAACAGAACACAACAAGGAGTGGTCTGGATAATAGAAAAGACCCAGGAGAGGAGTCTGATCAGAGGATAGGCATATAGGTGAAGACCCCTCCAATCTTGACTGAAAGTATTCACCCCCAGAACTGAGGGATGAGGAACTGAAGACCAAAAAGGAAGAAACTTTGGCATTTCAGTGAGTGAGAGACATACATATATATGGCAGGAATTTCATCATCTGCCAATAAAGTTAACTTCACTTGTAAAGTGGCTAGGGCACATCAGACCCTAATCGTGGGGTCAACTCTATTCCAAAACCAGGTGGCATCAGGTATTTATTGCCCAGTCCATGGTAAGAGGAGTGTCCCTACATTTTCACCACAACACGAGGAAATAGAAGGGAAACAGGCTCTGTTCTGCCATCCTAGTCAGGGCAAATGTGTGCAGACCCAATACATAGGCAACACCAAGCCACCCAGGAACCTGACATCCAGGCAACAGTAGGAAGAGATAATGCAATGTGCTGTTTCACTAAAATCCAAAACCTGGTGGCATTGGAAAGTTATCATCCAATCTGCGATAGGACAAGGGCTCCCTACCAACCACATGTCAGGACTTATGTTGGCTGGTCCAGCTCTAATTCATTACCAGACCACCCTGGAACCAATGTTCAGTTGGCAGTAAGATGAGAGCCCCAGCATTTTGGTGGATTACCTTCAGTCCATAACAAGGCAGCATCAAGTATTTTTCTTCCAATCTGCAGTACGAAGAGGGTTCACACCATCTACACCGACAGAACACCACATCCTATTCTCAACTGAATGGGATAACACATACTCCATGGTCCACAACACCAGTGGCTAGGAGATGGTAAGGCCTTTCGTACCTCACTCAAAGAGGGGGTAATAATGTGGTAGGGAATCTGGAAGAATGCAACACTAAAGAAAGTGCAATGGGTGACCACAAAACCCTATTTTTAAAAGCCATTTAACTCAACTAGGATCAGAGGGATAGGTAACTATCCTGACATTGCTTTACTCATGATAGTACATGAGTTGGTATGGTCTGGGATGGGCATATATATACACATATGACACAATATACTGTGAGGATGAACCTACTAGCAGTCTTGTAGAACATCTCATCTCAACGGTAAGTGTGAAAAACCTGAAAGGACATACAGTGCAGATTTATGAATTAGGATACCTGGACAGGCACCACTTGCCACAGAGCAGGATACAACATGTAAAATTGGACCACTGTAAGGAAATAAAGAAATATAAAACACTGACCTACTCACAATTGAACTGAATTGTGGAGGATGGCAATGGGTAGTATTTGGTATCCTGATAAAGAGGAGACAGTCAAATGATGAAGTGAATGAGAAATGACAGTGTGTGCTATGGTCCACACACCAGCCTGGATGATCTTCCCCAATGGGTGACAGAAGTTGGCAGCCAGGGAGAGGGTGAAGTACTGGATCTGATGCAAGGA